GGAGCGGGTCCCAGGGCTGCCCTCGGGCAGCGGTGCGCACGGAGGACATGCAGTGAGCACCCCAGCGACAGCATGCACCGCGGGGCCCACGCTCCGGGCCCCAGGAGGGAGCGGCACAGACGGGAACCACCGGCCACCCCTGCCAGCCGGCAGCAATGCACCACGGCTCACGCTAGTGCGGTTTCCTGGGGGTGCCAGCACCTGGAAGAACCACCTGCCATCTACCTGGGGGCAAAACCACATCAGCCAAAGCCTCTTTTCACAGCAGAGAGAGAAAAGAGCGAGCTGGGAGGGAAAGCGAGCCGGAGCCTGGCGCTGAGAGCTACAGCCCCCACGCAGGGGCCAGGCAGTGGAGCTGGCGGAGCAGGGAGGGGGCCATCCATAAACCACCAGTCGTCAGCAGAAGGGCAGGGCAGGCAGTGGGGCCGAACCCTGGCAGGGATGGGAAGGGAGCAGGGGACCATGGTGGGGAGCCTCCGGGGGTCCTCACGATGCTGTCCCAGGGCCTCAGCTATACAGTGGGGAGGGCTCCACGCTTCAGAGGACAAGGGCAGTGGGAGATGCCTAAAGCTGAGCAGGGTGGTCTGGGGCTCTGCCCCACCTGCACAGGCTGAAGGATGGGTGGGCAGCTCTGCCTGCTTCCCTCCCCACTCTCCCCTTCTGCCCGCTCCGTCCCCATCCCCGTGGGCTCTGCGTGGCCTGGAGCGGGTGGTGGCCCTTACCTGGTGGCCCCCTGCAATCCCTGCAGAAGGGGAACGGGCATCTGGCAAGCCCAGAAGACTCTGGGGGGAGGGAGCAGCGGGCCCTAGGGGGAGTATAAAATAGTCGTCTGTAGCGGATGGGTGTGGAAGGGCCTCCGGCAGACACGCTTCGGCTCGTGATCCTTGGGGGGAGGCAGGGGAGGGGGACAGGTTCTCTGCAGGGGATTCATCTTCATGTGGGAGGTGAAGGAAGGTCAGGGAAGAGGGATAAGAGGGACGTTGCAAGGCTCAAGCAGACTCCGGGCAGCTCTGGGATGTCTGGGTGGTGATGGGGAGGGAGGAGGGTTCAAGCTGCAGGTCCTGTTTATGGATGGCCTCTACCAGGGGTAGATCCTGCTGCCAGCTGGCTCTAGGCAGGCGGCGGAGCTACGCATGCGACACAGCGGGGACGGCACATGCGGGCATGCCACAGAACACGGCGCTCCCCCGGGACCGGGGCGCTCCAGAGCCTACCTGGGATGTGGAAATGCTTGGGCGCTTGGTATGAGGTTGGAGTGGAGGACCTCACATCTAACTGGCTATAGTAGGGGGAACTGCGCCCACTCTCGCTGCCTACGTGGTGCCGAGCAGAAGCAGCCGTGAGTGACCGAGAGAGAGAACAAGAGGCAGAAGAAAACGGGTGTTAAATGCAGTGGTGTTAAAAGAGCGGGGGGCGACCCACATGGTGGGGGTGATGAGGATGTCTGTGGTCCAGGATGGCGTGATGGTGCAGGGGGAGATTCCCCGCATCTCCGGAGGAAGGAGGGATGTGCGCGGGTGCTGTGAGAGGGCAGCAGGCTGCCCCACTGCTGGCAAGAGGAAAGCTGAGCATGCTGCGGAGGCAAACAGCGACAGGCCCTTGGCGGTGCAGCGTTGGGGAGCTCAGAGAATGTGGAACCTCTGGAATTACTGACCTTGGATTCTCCCAGTTGTTCCTCCATGGCTCTGAAGAACAGGAGACGTGGCACAGACACATTCTGCTCCCCTCTGACATGCTCCAGGGCATGCACTCGTGTGTGAGTGTGTAAGGACCCTGCTTTGCACAAGCCCTCTTGTGCATGCCCCTCACAGAGCTACCAAGCCAACTGAGGGGTCTTCAGTGGCCCTGGGTGTCACCTTCCTCCCTGAGCTCCAGCTTCCTGAGCTCCAGCTCCAGTCTGAGCCAGGACAAAGACCCCTCAGCCTTTCCTCACAAGACAAGTGTCAGGGGAACTGGAGGATGCCCATAGCAGAACTGGTCACTGCCCCACAGCGCCTGTTGCTGTCAGCCCCACATGGCCTCCCACCTGCTTGCCAGAAGAGGGACCACCGAGGTCCCCTGGGAGAAGCAGGGGACAATTTGATGATCCCTGCTCTGTTTGGGGCTCTGATCTTAGCCCAGCCTGGGATGCAGCTGAATCCTCACCTGAGCGGTAGAAATGGTGGGGGGACCTCGGGATGGTGGGGGACATGCCCTGGCGGCTGTAGGTGGGGGAGTCGATGTAGCCAGGGCTGGAGGCTCGCCTCTGCCGAGTGTCAAAGCTCTCGTAGATGTCCTGGGGACCCAGAAAGGTGTGGAGAGAAGCAGAGTTAGAGCTGGTGGGATGAGGAGCGAGGCAGGTCAGTGCCTCACCAGCCCCGTGGGGAGGTGTCCCATGGCCGGAGATCCCTGAGCTTGTTCCCAAGTTCCAGTGTGCCCCTCCACAGGGCAGAAGCTGCACCTCAGGTCTGCTCTGCCAGGGAGGGCTGCACGCCACTCTCCACAGGGCCTGAAGGACAGGACTCTCCCGGACTGGTTCCCCCATCTCCCCCCACCTCGGGACAGCACCGGGCAGGGGGACATTGAGCAGAGCCCCAGTGGTCCCTGGGCAGAGGGACATGCTGCGGTGGCAGCAGGTGACAGACCCCTCGGTGACTGCCGGGGGCATTACCTGCGAGTACGGGGAGAGGGTCCCCAAGGACTGGAGGTGTCAGGAGGCAAAGGGGAGGAGAGAGAGAGAGAGAGAGCACAGTTAAGGGGAGCAGCGACAGACCGAGGTCCCACAGTGGCTTGTTTTCCCCATGTTACATCCCCATCACAGCTGCCAGGCAGGGAGGGCGGCTGGTGGCACAGCCAGAGCGAAACTATGGCAGGACGCTGGGCAGGGAGCCCCTGGCCGGGATGGGACGTGGTGTAGGGATGGCACCCCCTGAATCGGCAGCCTGCTCTCTCAGGGACCTCAGTGGAGTCCCTCAGTGCCTGCGGCTGTGAGAGGGGAAGGTGGCTGCTGGCTCCATGGAGCTCCACAGTGGCCACGGCCAGGCTGTGGGTACTGTCACTGGGTGTTCTGGAGGAAGGCAGGCTTCTAGGAAGCCTTGGGTCTGAGATGTATGAGATGCTGCTGCTGGTCATCACAAAGTCCTCTCCCAGGACCACTGCAGGTCCCCCATCTCTATGTGAGCTGCTCAGACCCTCTTCTTCCACAGACTTACTGAAATCATCCAGCAGCCCCAGCCTGCCTGGGGGAACGGTGCAGGGCAGTCCCATGCCACATGCTGCTTGGCATCATCTCATCACAGGTTTGCAAACACTCACTGACCGAGCCCCCTTTCACTTGCTGCGGGGCCAGCACCCAACAGGGACAGCCCTGCCAAGCTCCAAAACACTGTGCCAGGGCTGCGTGTCCTGGGCCAGCCTTACTCCCCGCTCCAACCAAGGGAGAAAAGGCACCTCACATGCAGGATGATTGCCTGACAGGGGCCAGGCTTTGGCCTGAGCCATCTGACTGCCCTGCCAGCCGCCTGTCCTTCCACCCCAGAGGGATGCACGTGGGCTGCATTCTCTCCTCTGCTCCTGCTGCAGGCTGTCATGGGTGAGCTCCCTGCCATGGCATTCCCAAGGGTGACATCTCATCTGTCCCTGCATGTGGAGTGTGAGGCACAGTGTGTGCAGGGCACGGTGATCAGTTAAGGTCACTGGTTTCCTTCTTACTCAGCAGCAGCACCGCGGGTTCCCTTCCAGACCCCTTCCCAGTGATGGGGAGCCTCTGGGAGTTGTCTTACCCCTGCTCCTGCCTCCCTGCAGTATTCCCACTGGAGTGAGCAAACCCCCATGCAGTTTCCCCCACTGCCCCGAATCAGGGCCCAGCTCCCTGTGCAGCCCAGCATTGGGTGCATCAGGACTCAGTACCTCCCCATAGCTATATCTCTCCAGTGTCTCATCCGACGTGTATCTGTGATAGGGCTCGTAGGAAATGAGGTCAGGACGCTGCACTTCATAGATGGCTTTAATCTTGGGAAGAGCTGCCAGGTCTTTGTAATTAAGGATCTCATTATCCACTTTAGCCTAGGGAGAGGGAGAGACAGACAGAGAGACAGAAAGGAAGAGGAGGAGAGAAGGAAGGGGGAGCTGGAGCGCACAGTGCGGAGCCAGCAAAGAGCAGACAGAGCCCACCCCAGCAGCAGGAAGAGGTAAGAGGAGATGCCCAAGAGGCAGCAGGTGGGAAGGCGCAGAGGAGCTGGGAGGGTGGGACTGTGCCCCTCGGAGTGCTCCTGATCTCTGTCAATGGCACTGGCAGCACAGCTTGTCTGTGCTGTCCCCAAAGGCTGGGCTTGTCCCCAGGGCACACCTCACACTGCAGAGCAGCATTGGGAACTGCTGCTCCTTTCCCTGGGGCTGGAGCATCCGTCCAGCCCTGCACGGATAAGGGGTAAAACTGTACTTACGCAGATGACACGGTTCGGGGAGCCGATGCTGGAACCGGGTGGTGAAATGGAGGTTTCTGACGTCCTTCTGTGCTGTGGGGGCAGAAAATCAGAGGACAGATGATGGCGAGGAGGGACCCCTGAGCAGGCACAGTTCTGGGTGCAGCTAGCAAATCGTTGGGTTTGGGGCTCAGCTGCACTCAAGATCCAGTTTCTCTGCACTCTGCTTGCTGCTGGTGCCTGTGGCTGCTGCAGGCTGCCCTGCCATCCAGCATTGCACCCTGGCTGCTCTCGGGGTCAGGTTTGGAGCCAGCTGAGTGACTCGTACCAGCCAGGAGGCAGCCATGGCCACTTGTCATCCTGTGGGCAGTGGGGACAGAGCTCATGGCAGCCTTGGGAAGCCACTCGGGGCTTGAAAACTGGCGGGGCTGCAACACTGCCATAACAGTTCACCTCCAGCAAGGGATTCGGGGGCAGCATCACCTGGGACATGCCACCTCTTGGAGATCACAGAATCACCAATCGTTTGGCTTGGAAGGGACCTTAAAGATCACCTAGTTCCAACCCCCCTGCCATGGGCAGGGACACCTTCCACTAGACCAGGTTGCTCCAAGCCTCATCCAGCCTGGCCTTGAACACTTCCAGGGATGGGGCATCCACAGTTTCTCTGGGAAACCTGTCCCAGTGCCCCACCCCAATCTGCTGCCTACCTTTAGCTTCTTCTCTGCTCTGGCCGCCTGCTTGCAGATGGGGTGCCACACTTCGGAGCCTGCAAGGCAGTAAAGGGAAAGCATTTTTGCTCCGCACACAGCTCACCCCCCGCTGCTTGGGATTGTCCAGCTGTCCTTGCCATGGGGGAGTCCCATCCTGTCTCTGCAACTCCAGCACTGCCCTGCAGCCTGTGCTCCTGAGGGGGAACATGTCAGTACTCTCCCTAGCAGCCTTGAGCAACCAGTGCCACAGGAGTGTAACCCCTGCATGCCGGGGGGCAGCTCCTGGGGGGCCCTGCAGGGGTGGGAGGTAGGAACCAGACTCTCTCTGTGGGGAGCAGAGCAGGAGGGAGGCGATGAGCCTCGAGGATGCTGAGGTCCCACTGGCTTCCCTGGACGCCTTCGCCAATAGGCATGTGCCCGTTGGGAAGGCAGTGGGGACCGGGTGTCTGTACTGAGAAACGAAACAGCTCCCAATCACCCAGATGTAGTGGCCAACACTAAACTGTGACAGCAAACCCAGGTGTGTTTCAGGCACAGCCCAACCAGTGCTCAGCCAGGCAGCTCCTGTTGGTTAAACTCAGGGTAACACTGAGCCTGAGGCATCCACAGCCCCTCTCATGCTCTCTGGGCTGGAACCAGCAAAGCCACTGAGCTCTGCCCAGATGTGCCTGGGGACAGATGCTCAGCACACCCATCCTGCTGCCCACCACAGGGCCTTGCTGGGATCCCTGCTCTCTCAGTGTGCAGTTCCCCCTTTGCCACCCATGGGATCATTAGTGACTTAGGGTGACAGGCAAGCACAAGCTGAGAGAAAACAAACCCTCCCTCTGCACTGGAAATAGCCCCTCAGGCAGCTCCAGGCAGGGATGAGCTCCTGCCAAAACCAAACCCAAACCATCTAGCTGTGCCAAACGGAAACCTTACCCCTCCGGTGCTGCCGGCAGCGTACCTTGGATGGGAGGGGGTGTTGGGGATGGTGGGGAAGGGGTGCTGGGCCCTCCCCTGAGGTTAGGGAGGACAGGGAGCCGGGCACCCTGAGCCCATCCCCGCCTCTGTTCACTGGGCACAGGCCAGGGACACATCCAGGCATGCCCGGCGGCGCTCCCCAGCTGCGCACGGAGACTCCCATGGAGCAAAAAGCTGCCAACAAGGAGAGAAGTCTCCAGCTCAGTGGCAGGGAAGGTTTCATAGACAGAAATGATTGCCACATGGCCCAGGAAGAGTGCAGGGGCTGGGGAGCAGCAGAGAAGGGGTCTCTGGCATTGCTGCACAGAGAGACCCTTTTGGCACTGGTCGCCATAAGGACCTGAACCCCAAACCCCCCCCCAGCCAGCACACCTCCATGGAGCCACGCTGCTCCATGCCCTGACATGGGGCAGGGGTGTCCCTCCTCTCCACAGCAGGATCCCTACCTGTGAGGTACATCTCCTCTCCTTCCGTGAACATCTGGTGGCAGCGAACACATCTGGCACAGGTGGGGTGGTAGTGCTTCCCTCCTGCCTGCAAGGGTGGGCAGACAAGAGAGGCCCCTGAGCAAGGCAGGACACGGTGACCTGCTCACATCTCTGAGAGCGAGGGGCCCTGGCATCGCTTGCTGCTGCAGGCAACGACAAGGTGAATGGGGCAAAACTGCCTGTGGTGGCGTCAGGGACCAGCACAACGCATGGAGAAAAGCAGAGGAAAACACTCCATCGCTCATGCTTCTGACGTGCTGGACTATGAGTCAGACTGGGAACCTTCTGCTCTCCTTGAACTGTCCAACACACAGGAAAGCAGATCCAGGAGATCCCCAACCCCCAAGGAAGGTACCCCTACAAACCTCACCCCTAATAAATTGCCCTTGCACCCTGGAAATAAGTGAGACCCTCTGCAGTAACACCCAGCCAAGCAGCCATACTTTGCACCAGCCCCTTCCCTCTACAGCTTTGAAGAGGAACAGCAAACCTGGCCCAGAACATCACAGCAGGGAAGCAGTAAAGGGATAAGGGCCCCAAAGAGAAACCTGGCAAAGCACAGGCTTCCCCTTGCTGTTAGACCCTCCCTGGTTGCCACCACCAGCCCCTCTCCCTAAATAAACTTCCGTTCTGTGTAACCATGCCCAAACTTCAGCACCAGCAACATGCTATTCCCCAGCTGAGCAGGAGCTGGGCTGCTCCCTTTGCTCTTTGACAGAGATAATAGCTTTAATTGGTAGCTTGTTTCCACTCAAAGTGTCTGCTAGCATTTCAATTATAGGCTCGTTTTCTGGGCTGGGAGCTGGGAAGGCAGGAGCTGGCTCAGGGCAGGAGGAATCTGGGCTGTGCTGTTAGAGTTCGACCCCAGAGGACATTTTCCTCCTATAATAATCCAAGAGAAGAGGAAGGATAATTTAAGGAGGGAGAAGGAAGATGAAGCTCTGGCTGACAAAGGGGAGGGTTATGATAGAGGGGGCTGGACCTGGTTTGAAACAGGGAGGATCAACAGGAAAATTTGCTGCAAGGACAATTGAGAATCTGCCAGTTGATTGCTCATAAAAATCAACCTGGAATGTCCTTAGGCTGCAGATGGCAGCCAACGGCTTTTTCCCTCCAGTTCATGCCAAAAATGAGTGGAAGGTTTTAGGGCAGGCAGGGGAGATGAGTGGGAGAGTGGGACCCCCCCTCCTTTCACTGCAGTGCACCTCAATCCAGGGAGGGGACAGCCCTGCGCCCCAGGCACCTCCCAGCTGGCAACAGCACAATGTACTCCTGGACTGGCCCAAGTGAGCCCACAACCCAAATATCCCCAGTTCACACCCAGAAGTTGGTAACATGGCAGGAGAGCCACCAGTGGGAGGACTGCCGAGACAGACCCACCGTGAACGGTGCCAGCCTTGCTTGGTCATCGAGGTTATGGAGGACCAGGCTGCCCAGGGGAGCAGCAGGAGGGATTTGACCACAGGGGACCCTCTGGCTTCCCCCTCCGAAGTTTGCTATCAAGTGGCCCCACAATGGGCAGCTGGCTCCTGGCAGCCACTGCAGCGCTGAGCTGACGCTCACAGCAGCCAGCACCGGGGCTGCTGCCGATGCCTGGAGTCAGCAGAAGCCTTCCCCAGCAGAGGCGGCTCCCTGAAGAGGGGGGAAGATGCTGGAGGGCTCCTGGCACCCGGTTCCAGGTTCAGGAGAGGTTCCCTGGCCAGGCTGGGTGCTTTCAGGCTAGCTCAGCTGGCAGGACCACTTCTTGGGAGGCTGTGAGTGAAACAGGCTGGAGATGTCCTGGAACAGCTCAGCAGGCTGGAGACCAACACGGCCACTGCCACTCCAGCCCACAGCACCTGCGGTCTGGCTCGCCGTGGAGCCATAGGACCTCTGATTTTGGGATACAGCTTCCTATTGCTGCTGTCCGGACATCCCAGAGGTGTGGGTGCTAATGCCACCCACATCTTCCCTTCCCATGAAGGAGTAACTGAGCACACTTTCAGCATTGCAGCCTCTACACCACCACAGACCAGCCCTGCAGCATTACCAGGGGATCTAAAAATCACAGCAGGTTTAATTCTGACGTCTTTTCTCCCTGCCTCTTGGCTCCTGCACCTTTGGTTTACCCTCAGACCAGATTTTCCGGCTTTTTCTTTTCCCCTGCACATGGGGTAGAAACAGAAAGCATGACAGGACACCCCACCTCCAGGAGCAGGGACTGTAGGAAGGATCTGACTGCCTGGCTGATGGGAAGGAACAGCACTGATGGACTTCTCGGTCCCTCCCCAACAGCAAACCCCACTCTTCCCACCTCTTCTGGCTGTGCAGCTTCACCATTGCCCAAAACATCCTCCACAGCCACCTGCATCCATGCCTTGCTTCGGGATCCCTGTGGGATCCCTGCATCCCTCAGTGGCTCTGCCAGAGCAGTTCCTCCTGGCCAGCAAGGTGATAAGCAAATCCCTCTCTGGGTTTGGCCCAGGGCAGGGGATGCCCTGATCTGGTGGCTGTCCTGCCAAGAGGTGTGCTGTGGGGCTGGCTGCCTGCAGACAGGGTGCTGCATCCCCTTGCCCAGGCTCGGCAGCGGGCAGCTGTGCTGGATGTGTTTCCAAGGCAACAGGCAGGCTGCCTGCTCAGGGATGCGCTCAGAAGGCAGGCTGGGGTGCGCACGGTGGGGACCATGCCACAGCAGCTGGTGAAGGCTGGTGTCCCCACATCCTGGGCTCCAGACACGTCACAGCACACCCTGGCCACAACGTGCTCTGGCTGCTTCTGGAGCTCCGGTGCTCAAGCCACCTCTCCAAAGGTCTGTGGTATGGCGATGCTCCTATCCCACTCCCACCCTCCAGAGAGCATGGTCAGACTGTCCACACACCCACTGCAGGAAGACCGGAGAGACTGAGGGTAGCATGACAGGGTGTGAGGAAACTCCCACGCCTCCCCAAGGCATGCACCTCGGGGCAGGACACACACTGACGCGTTACAGACCGGGATGGGGTGCCACGGCCTGGGGACTCACCTCCAGGACCCTGCCGCTGATGTACCGGTCACAGGTCTCGCACTTGATGCCAAACTGGGCATGGTAGTCAGACTCGCAGTACGGGATGCCATCCCTTTGGGAGAGGGAGGAGAAGGGGGTGAGTGGTGGGTGAGCAGGGCTGGGCACCCCCTTGCTGCAGCCCCAGCCCAGCGATGGCTGGCACGGCCAAGCCTGCGGCCAGCGCCATGGCACTCACTTGCTGATGTACTCGCCGGTGAGGATGATCCCACACGTTTGGCACTTGAAGCAGCTGACGTGCCACTGCTTCTCCAGGGCCAGGAGGGACTGGCCTTGCTTGATCTCCTCCTTGCAGCCTGCGCAGTCTTGGGGGGACAGGAGGGGAGGGGGAGTGTGGGACCACCGAAGCTCCCTGGCGGGGGGCTCAGCAGTGTGACAGGAACACCCACATCTGCTGGGCCATGCCGAGGCATCCCAGCCATTAACCAGCACACCCTTTGCACCCAGAGGAGAGCCCTGCCCCTAGGACTCCCTTTTCTAGGGGATGCTGCTATTATAACCACCCTGCTCCTTAGACCACTCCAGGAGCAGCCTCTCAGGGATCATTTCTGTAGGGGGAATCATTTCTTTATGGAATATGCCACCTCTGCTTGTTCCCAGCAAAGGAGACAGGAGGAAAGCCCTCCTGCTGGAGCTGGGACCTGGGAGGCACTGCTGGCACTAGCCACCCTGGCCAAGCACCCGCCAGAGCACAGAAGCCAGGCGGCGAGCTGGAGCCAGGGCGAATGCTCGCGTTGCCGGGGCCATGGTGCCCTGGCAGGTCCCGGGGGCTTCCCTCGGGGCGGGGGCAGTGGGAAGTGGCCAGCAGCGAGCGCAGCAGAGGAAGGGCTGTGCTCTCCGGCAGCCATGTCCGGCCTCGCTGCTGTATTTACGAGACTCCCTTCCTTCCTCGCTTCCCCTGGCTCCCATCAAGGCTGCAAGCAGGAAGCACATGGGCCTCAGACACCTGACCTTGACTCCTTGTCCTCTTCTCCCCCTGGGCAGCAGGTTGGCCCGGATGGGGTTTCTCCTTAACCCCACTCCCAGGGAGGTGCAGCAGCACTGCACAGGCAGCCTGAGCTTTTCCACTCAGCCCATCCCCAGGCGGCAAGACACCAAGTCTCTGCCTCCTGGACAAAGCTCAGGGGGGAGGATTGTTGACCCCAGGCTGCCCAGCTCGGCTGAGCCAGGATCCATTCCCTCCCTCACACAGATCCTGCTGTTTTTTGGTTACTCGAAGGGCTGGGGCTGCAGGGAGAGGCTCAGCATTCTTCTGCTAGGGATGTGCTCCCTGCAGAGTGCGCCAGCGCGGGCTCCAGCAGGCACAAGACCCCTGCCACCCCTTCTGGGTGGCACTGCCAGGGCGACCTGGGCTGCAAGGGGCATATGCAGACAGCAGCCTACATCTGGCTGCTGCCTGCAGCTGCCTATGAATAAACCATGCTGCCCTCAGGTAACCCTGCTCTGCAGGCCCAGGAGGAGGGCTGGTGGGAAAGGGAGGAAGGCAGGAGAGGGGCAGTGTGGCTGCCCTTCCCTGGCTATGGGAGACAGTGGGATGCTGCGGGCCAGCCACCTCTGGGCAGCTCTGGGTGCTGATGGAAAAAGATTGGGGAAGGTGTGTCCTCTGGCCAGGGCTCATTCAAACCCCAACACATCCCCTAACTCCATCAAGGACATGGTGAGAGCTGGGGGGAGGCAGCCTGGGGGGGTGTGTGGGGGTGCGTGGCTACTCCCAGGGACCCATCAGCACCAACTCAACCGAAACAGCCACCACCAGTGCCAGCACCATGTGACAAGGGCCATGGGTGACACCATGGTCCTGGATCCGTCTGTGGCTGCAGGACTCTGCCCAGGTATTGATGCTCCAGGGCTTGCTAAGCTGCAGCAGCAAGGTGCTGCGGATGTCACAGGGTTTGGGCAGCACGGTGTGGCACAGCTCCTGGCTTTCCCTGCCTTCTGCCACCTGCCCACAACCTGCACTGAGACAGCTCCCCTGGGACTTGACAGCAGCAAACACGGGGTGCGTGGGAGACCATGATGCACTGACAGCACGTTAACGCTGCGGTCCCCTCGCTTCGGACACAGGCTGAAGTGAGCCTGGTGTGCAGCAGCTCCATGCCGCAGGAA